AGTCTTTGATTTCGAACATTCAGAGGCTGAAGAACAAACATTCATACGGGTGTGAAGTTTTTGAGATTGAAAGTGAAAGCCTTAAAGATCCTACTTACATCTTAATTTCTTACCATATTTCGGTGGTCATCCGGAAAAATCCCGGCTCCTAGACTGAGTTGTGTACCAAAGACATCTTCGGGTAGACGGATGCGGTACGCGCAACAACAGATACCATCTGAAACCAGAGCTGCTCTAAATCCGATCTGGAAAGTTCACGCGGAAGCGAAGCTAAATGACTCAATAGAAGAGACTATATATATTGTAGACAAACTGCAATGAAATAATCACAAAAATGCATGTAGTTTACCTAGTCTGGAGCGCCTTCAAAAGGACAAAAGGGTATGTAAATAAGTACTTGCCAGAGTTCTTAAAAAAGAGCCTTGACAAAGCGGCCAGCAATTTAAGGAGCTACATAAATTTAAACACAGCTTTCTCCGAGCGCCTGTTTCATACTCATAAACACACCATTGTAAGGTCGGCTAACATTACCTACTGGGTTCGGAAAGAAAATAAAACAAACATTTTTATGACCCAGCATTTTGTTTCCGCGCATGCGCGTGCGATCATTGACTTTTGTCAGGCAATCGTTATCCCCTATTTCGTTTTTATTTCGGCACTCAACAACTGCAACTGACTAACTAGCGCTTTGAGCCCTCAGCGCACCACCTAGCTTGCCACATATTGTTGTGGTGGTACGCGGCAACGCCGCCGCAGTAGATTGCAAAAGGCGTCGTCTGATAGGCTTTGAATTCTATAGTAGATCGCTTGAGTCCCTTTAAATAGCAAGCGTAAAATGCGTATAAACTTAAGTATTTTAACTACTATTTACTAATTGCTCTGAATAGCTGAACTGCTTCGGAGCTCGTAAGTAGTTATGGGTAGGTATATAGCTCAGACCGTCAAGGGTAACGACAAATGCCTTAACAATTGCTTAATTCATTGCTTTAACGCTTTTAATTACACGAATTATTGATCCTAAAAAATTTAAACTTTATTGTCAATTAGCGTAAATTAAAATTTTTAAATGTAGACTTGGAGTGAAAATGTTCTGGAGCAAGAGGCGTAGGCACAATGAGTGCAATGACGTAGAAGAGCTGCAAAACACTCGTCACTTGAATGAGCACTAAAATACAGATCGACCATGGATGTACTAAACTTGGATATGCACTGCTTGCTCCGTTTGGTATCTGAACAAATCAGTTACGTAAATTTTTCGAAAGCATAAGGTTTTATAGACTCTCTGGTCTAAATAGATGTATTTGGAAAGAAACATTAGTAAACTTTTTTTATGGATAGATCAAAACTTGACGGACGGGTCTGTGAAGGTACATATCTTCTGTCGCGAACCCCCCATCAATTTGACATTAAGGCTGCCGAACGACTTATTTTAGCCTATTTTAGGCAAGAAAAGCCGACAGTAACCAAGCAGTCGGTAAGCTGCTAAAATTGGCTACGATAGGAGTTCTTGAAAGGCAGATGAGTATCACAGCCCTGAGCTTCCTTATGTTAAACTTAAATCTAAAAGGGGGGACCATTGATTGACTGCTTTGACGATACGATTGCATCGGATACTGATTTAATGAATGTGAGTCACAGGTCACAGTGGTAATTTTTTCAGAACATTTTTGGCTGACGAACTGGCTAAGGAAGACATCCTTGCGGTGGTCTCAACTATCACCAAGGAAAGGGTGGGAGTGCCTTTAACCACCAGTTGACTCCTCTTTGATATCATTTCAGTAAGCGTTGTGTGAAAACACAAACATATGCTGCGCCAATTTTTTTTTTGGACCAGGTTGGACCAAAGATGATCAAGAAAAATTCCGGGTCATTTACAAAGTCGCAACTCTCACTGTTTATCTCGATTGGTTCCCAGATGAAGATATTTTTTGAGAGCACTTCTGTAATCAAAACAGTGTCGACGGTGATGTCCAACTCTCCTTGTGTACAAGGCGGCCGGCAAGGTCGCAGGAAGTAGCCAGGTCCTTCTGCCCGTGGTCCTTTTTCCTAGTCATCGACTACACGCTTCCATAATGGGAGTTCAGTACGTTCAGTTATTTCTTCCCTGGACACTGCGTTTCTGAAGCCATTTGAAGAATACCGTTCTGCGACCAAGACATTTACACACCTCCGAATCGTGGTTACACTCGGAATCGCCACTTGGCGATTGCTTTGATCACCCAATGTTTTTCTTAGCTCACATTCCTAAACACTGCCTTTAATTAAGCGTCCAAATGGGGAGGTACCTTAGGAAGTACTCTTACGCTTATATTTACATTGTCTAACAGAGGCTTTGCGAAGGAACTTTTTCTATGGGAAAGTGCCCATAAAGACCGACTGTTGTAAATCTTATGCTTCTTGAGAGTTTCTTCAGACTATTAAAGATTTATGGGGATTTTTTCAGAACTTTGTATGTTTTACTTTTCGGAGGCTACATGTGGTTTTTTTTTTGGAGTATGCATAAGCCCTCTGTGCTTGTTTCGGACCTTTAGGAATTCTTTAATCTACTTTTCGGGAAATTCTCTTTTTCGGGATTTTTGGTATCTCTACAAATTTTTCGCGAACTTTTCGGATCTTTTCCACGTTTTCTGAAACTTTTCGAGAATCTTTCTGGCTTAGTTTTTCGGTATCGAGATTCTTTGTATTTTTAACTGCCGGTATTTTTCGGCAACTTTTGGCATTTTGTCCAGCTTTTTCGCGTTTTAATTTGAGGGATCTTGTGGATTTTTCCGAGACTTTTTTCGAGCTTTCGGGATAATTTCGAAATCCTCTAGATTTTAACGAGACTTTTCGTTACTCTTGCTGTTTTATTTTTTGTTATTTTTTTCGGGAGCTCTTGAAGCTTTTTGTATTTAATTTTCAGGGACCTTGTGTTTTTTTCTGCACTTTTTGGAATGTTTTCGTTACTTTCTAGTTTTTTTGGATCGTTTGGGGTATTTGTGAGTTTTTTTTTATAACTTTTCGGACTCTTTCGGAATCCTTGTATTTTACTTTTCCGGTTTGGTTTTTTGCAATTTTTTTGAGATACTTCGTGTTTTATTTTCGGTGATCTTGCAGGAAGTTTTTCGGGAACTTTCGGAATCCGTCAAAATGTTTTCTGCGATTTCTGCATTATTTGGAAGCATTTCGGAGGTCCTCGTTTTGGGGTGTTTTTTCGGTTATTTTTTTAGGGGTTTTCAGGATCTTCGGGACTTTTCGGAATACTTTATTGGAGTTACTGTATTATTATTTTTTTTTTGTAGGTCTGGGGATTTTCGTAAGTCTTCGTGTTTATTACAGGGTTTTTACAGGGATCTTGTAAAATTTTTTCGGAATAATTTCGTTTCTCCCAAAATTTTCTGGGCACTTCGGTGCATTTGGAAGTTTTTTTATAACTTTTCGTATTTTTTCGGCCTCTTTCAGAGTTCCTCGTATTTTACTCTCCCGGGGTAACCTTTTTGGGTTTTTTCGTAACCCTCCGTAATTATTTTAAGTAACATTGTGGGTAATTTTTCGGGAATTTCGTTGGAACAATACGAATTTTTTGAGTGTTTTCATTCGTCTGACACCAACATCAGCTTTGTTGATTAGAATTGAGCTTATTTAGAGCAAAATCAGAAAGTCCTACCCCGAAACTAGAGCTTCGTGCTACCACTCGTCTACGCGATACTGATGATCTTTTACCAACCTGTCTTGCTTTCTCGTACCTCGTTCTACAAGTCCCTTGAGTCCTACTAAAAACAAACAAATGGCCACACCAGTGCTGGTCTATCCCCAACCGAGGCAATGAAACCAACATTTGCTTTGTTTGTTTAATTTTACGCTTTCGTCTTAGCCGCAGGACAAAATGTACATATGTATGAGTCGCTACCGCGGCCATGGCAGTGATAACGGTATGCGTAGAGAAATTCGTGACGCAAAAATGAGTAAAAGCAAAAATATATATTTAAGTAGTATGTAAGGTGGAAATAAATCGGTCAGCCAAGCGAACAAGCATGCGTTGGACTAATGTGCGCAGGTGCAGCTGAGTTGGCAGACGCCAAGCCGGCAAACGGACAGACGGACAGACGGACGATGAAGGCAAAAAGTGAAGCAGCAGTAGATTGAGAAATGTTTCTTCTTCTTAACTTATAAATGGTATTTAGTCTTTATCGCTCTGAACCCTGTTGTTGTTTTCCCCACGTTTTTTTTATTGTTTCATTAACTTTTGTAGGTATTTGAAGAAACACACAACGAATGTGTGCAATTTTGGGTTGCATTTTTTTATGACCGCATTCACATTCGTATTCGCAATGGCAATCGCATGTACAGCTAATGAACTCTGCGCTGCTTGGCTACACTGGGTCCTTTTTGATCCTTCTGATTGTTTTAGTCCTTCGGCCATACACTCTACGTCTAACAATCAAAAATTGCACATTTCAACTTTGCATGACCGTGTATGCAAGCACTTTCGTGCTTATCTCTCTTTGGCATTGCATAAAAAACAACAACAAAAATAAAGCGCTGTACGCTTGCCGCCTGGCGACTGATTGCGTCGGCGATTGTGTTGCGCCAGTCGTCAATGCATCTGCTAATTAATTTCCATTCAGCAACTAAGTATACGGCAAAATGCAAAGATAAGTACGCCGGTGTGTGTGTGTGTGTGTGCCTTTGTCTTTGTTTTGCATTGACAAAGCACTTTGCACATGCAACGGCAACTCACAACGGTTAACGCCCACCTCATTTATTGACCACGCCTAGTTTTTAAAGTCTTTACGAGTAGTATTGACTGTTGTTTTTTTTATATCTTCAAAACTTTCGGCCTGCTTTCGTGCTTTGCTCAGTGTTGTACATTTCACATGCAATATTTGGTTAATATTCTTTTGATCAATCTCATTTGCATAATTACTTTCTTAACTCTGGTGTAGAGTCGATGAGAGGACCGCCCTATTGGCTGACGCATGCTATGAAATGTCTCCAATTAATTCATTTCTTTTTTTTACTTTCTTAGCTGCGGATGTCGAGTCGGATGTGAGATTGGCTAAACCTTCCCATGTTTCAAAGTCCATCTCATTCATCTTTGAGACCTAAAATGCCATAGCAGGCTAACAGATCAAAGGTGGTATCATCCCTCGCAGTGGTATCGGAACTGGAGCAAAGCTGATGGCCGCAGCCCGCTGCCAGACCCTATCCTCGTGGCCGTACGTTCTTGAAGGACTGCTTGACCTGATTGGCTGCTCCTCATCTTTGAGTCCGTTGAAAAACGTACTAGTTCTTATCTTATCTTTTGTCTTCGAGTTATTCGGAGTTGTCTTCCCGTCTAGGTCAAATTTGTCGGTAAAGGCCATCTGCAGTACCGTGGTTTTTGGCCGATTGCAACTTCCTCATACGCGCCTCGTTGAGCTAGCTCTTTCCGGTTTCTTGCCTTGGGAGCAATTTATATCGGCTGTGGCTTGACCCGCTTTCTCCTTTGTGGCACTTCCAGAGGACACTGCACCTTGCATAGAACTTATCTTCTTTGCAAATGAAATCTTTATACCTCTTTATACCTTTTCGTGAAAGCAATAATGCATTTTTCACATTCGTCAGGAATGAAATCGTTAACTTATAGTGGTTTATTATAGCCTTCTTAGTTTGGCAAAGCTCCTTTTTCACCTTCTGCCTCTGGCAGATGGATATCCAAGCCACAACATCACAGCTTGGGAGCCAATATTTTTGACGTTGCTTACCTGTGACAACAATTTCGAAGATTCGGCATCCGACGGCCTGACCCCGCTAGGCTTCTTTTCTGCGGGTGATTGCTTATCCAAAGTAAGCTTGGAGACACCTATCCCTACACCCTATCTTCCTGCCGAGTAGCATTCGTATGCTGCGCAGCCCGTGGTTCCACTGCAGACTCTGAGATGTTGCTGGATATTGACCGCAGGTGACCTTCTTGCATGCCGCCTGCCACCCACCGCATGTTCTGGCTATCCAAAAATCTGTAACATAATGTTCTCATCCTTACTGATTCCATCCATATGGACACCTCCTGTCTGGCGGGGGTAATGGCCACCCGGCTATACGAGAAAGTGACAAGCTACTCCCCTTGACTGTGACGTTAGCTGCTATGCTTCAACCCTTTCGGGACCGTAAGCCTACAATTAAAAGTATACCCAACGAATTAAGAACCTCCTAATTTTTATAATCAGTTAAAAGAAATATTTTTTTACTATTCAATTTCCTCGAAACTTTTTTCTATAAAATTTTTTTCACACAAAAATTGTTTTTGTTTCTATAATTTTTTTAGCTAAAGCTAAAATATTTTTTCCAGAAATAACTGTTTCCTTACTAAAAATTTTTTGAATAGATAATTATTTTCCGAAAAAATGTTTTTTTTTTAAATAATAAAAAAATTTATTTTTTACATTAAATACTCGTTTTACTTAAAACCTCATTTTTATAAATTTCTTCCAAAGTTTTTTTATCCCTATAAATATTTATAACTGCTTTTTTCCAAGCGTAATTTTTTCTTATTTGTAGTAAATTTTTCTAGTTCTGGTAATAAATTTATTTCTAAATTTTTTTGATAATAGCCAAATAGTTACTATGTAAAAATGAGTCACATATATAAAAAGCAAAAAACTTGAAAATGAGTGGAGGACCCCTCTTGGTCACGAAAGAGTTTTAAGGCGGCTGTCTTCGGCTTTTAGCAAACACTTCTATCTGTAAAAAAAAAACACACTACGAAAGTTAGGCAGATGTATTGATTTTCTAACTTCCAGAGATTTAGAGGAGACGACTGTTCCAATACCGCTTTCCATTTTACAACCATCGACGTACATATGATGCATCCATCGCAGAGAAAAAGCCCGAAGTTCCTGTGAAATTCTACTTCAGTTCGTTTATAATCTGTGTCTTGACATAGTTCGCTAGATAGTCTGTAAAAGTATTGCGGTCAACGGGGGGCAAGCTCTCCAGCTTTACCACGATTTAACTGGTTCCGTAAGACGATTCACCAAACCAGGGAACCGTAACGTAAGATAATCGTAGGCTTCGGCTACCTCTCTGGGAGCAGATATTAAGTGATTCACGGCCAACAAAAATGCTTTAGTATTGACCTCTGCAAACCACCCGACCTTGTCATAACTTACATTGCTATCCGAGACTCTCTTTCACATAGTTTTCTTGCCGCTGATCATTGCTCCACAAAATTTCTTCAATAGTTGCCCACTTATCCTTGAAATAGGTCATGCAAATTCCTGCATTGTCAGCTTACAATTTTCACACAATATACTTCACTCTAATAAAAAAAAGCCATAATTATTGCACTTAGCTTTATACAAATTTTTTCAACCAATTAGCTTCTTTGAATACGTATGTATGTATCTACATTCACTACGGATGTTATGTTGCATGGCATAACTACAAATCATAGTGAGAAAATCACTTTGAAAATACCATTGCTAAATAGCCTTTTATCAAAGGATTAGGCGTACAAATCGACTGTCAAAATAATTCGAATGCCAAAAATTACACAAAAAAGCTAAAAAAGAAAAAAAATGCAAACGCAAAGGAGTAAGATCTTGCTAAACAGGATTTCATATGTAAAGGTCAATAAGTGAAGCAATACCTGAAAATTTAGAAATTATCATAGCGAAGATCAAATGATAAAAATAAACAAGAAAAAATTGGTGTGAAAATTGTGATGGCAAGAATAAAACTTGAATTTCACCAAAACCCGTATTTATCGCAAAAACCTAACTATGCATTGAAGTGAAAAGGAATGGGAAAAAGCCATCAGAAATGGGCTGAAGTGGGAAGAAGAAGAAGAAAATAGTAAGATAAAAATGGAAACGTAAAGTACGTATGTATAGGAATTTTCAATAGGGACGCACTGGAATTTACGAAACCAAACTGGAATTTACTGTTCAAAGTAATCCAGAGTTTTCAGTTTTCAAGCGATTTGATTATTACCTTACTTTTAAAATGACAGCTAATAAAATTTAGAAGAGACTTGTTTTTATTAAATAAATAAATTTTACGAAATAAAAATAGTTGAAAACAATTACAGAGTTCCCGTAAAACGAAAAAAATTACACAAATAAAAGTTACAGTTTATAACTTAAAATTTCACCTAAATAATTTTTTTCCAGAATTTTTAGAAAAAAAAAATGTTGATGCTCAGTTTCATGCTAGGCATTTTCTTCCATATGCATAAAGTGTGCCTAAGTCTAGCCACACGCGGGTAGTAGCAAAGAAAGTTTTCGATTCACCGAAAGGCACTCCCATTAGCCAATGGCCAGTCATTATGCCTATTATCAGCAGGAATTGGGAGCGTGCCAATTTTACATATAAGACCGAGGTTATGTAGTCATCATAGTCCAGCTCGTCATTCCACCTTACACGCCATTGCCATTGGCAGAACTTTTCTTTAACAAATTTTAGGCTTTGTTTTATCCATATATTTATGTGCATCCCGGAAATTCTCTTCTGTCCAACTGCCCACCTGTCGCGCTTTTCTCTGTTCCACCGTTCTTGCCAATGTACGAGGAATACTGCATGATTTCTTTTTATTTTCGTTTTAAGGACCCCTTCGGTTTCGCATACAAACTGAGCTTCTGAGCTTTAAATTTTGGTGGAATTCAATATAAAAACGATTTTTATTAGAACATTCCTATTGAGAATAAAACTAAAATTTGTAATAACAATCCCTCATTGCGGTGTTACGGATTTCAAACATAACTTAATTGCCTCATGCAACCGTGCATAGCGATTCTTTTCACTTACTACTCCCGCACTATATGAACCACCCGCCTGTCCCCATCGAGGTATCAGCATAAATTCCGTAAAGTGCACAGAAAATCAACAGCACAACATCTGAGTGGTCGCCATTCGTCAGTCAATTTTAGGTACAAAGCCAGCAAGTCGAGAAAAATTAAAGAGGGGATTCCACAGGGTGGTGTCCTTTCCTCGCTACTGTTTAATTACTACATCTCAAAGCTTCCTTAGCCACCAGAAGGAGTCTCAATTGTCTCCTATGCTGACGACTGCTCGATAACGGCGTCCGGGATTGAAATTGGTGGCTTGTGCTCCGAAGCAAACGGTTACCGCCCCGAACTTTCTTGGTTCTTCCCTGCAAGAAGCCTAACCCTCTCCCCTGCGATATCATCAGCACCCTTTTTACCACCTGGACGAAGGATACTACAGCTGGGTATTAACCTCGATGGCGAACCAATTACGACGGTGAATAGCCCGAAAATCCTCGGAGTTACCTTCGACAGTCTGCTCTCATTCTCGGCGCATACAACCGCAATTGTTAATAGAGTACAGAGCCGCAACAAGACGCTCAAGTCGCCAGCCGGCAGCACGTCGGACAAAGACAAAGAAACGTTGCTGGCAACATACTACAAGACAATTGGCCGGCTGATTTTGAAGTACGAGTATGCAGCGCCTGTGTGGTTGCCGGGGACTAGCAGGACGCAGTGGACGAAGCTGGAGACATGCCAGTACACGCCACTCCGGACCGCGACTGGATGCTCTCTGATGTCGCCACAACACCACCTACATACACGACGAGGCTCAGATGCTCCCCATCAATCAGCAGAACACAATGCACAGCAAGCAGTTCCTAGTAGGATGCCACAGGCACGGGCACACGACCAGACACCTGCTTGCAGCACAGCTCTCACCTAGGTATGTCAGGTGGCCTTCTATACGAACTAAAGGACGACAGGCCATCAACGGCATTCACAAGGAGTCGGTGACAAGCTACATCGACTCCCGACCTGTGAATCCCGTTTTGTGTACACAACCAACCGACGTGGACGGGAGACTCGCACCACAATAGCCAAACTTCGTTCTATACTATAATGCAGCAGGCTAAACTCGTACCTGGGCAGAGTGAACGCAGATGTGCACAACGAGTACCCAGAATGTGGAGAGTCACCACGGCAGCTTTTCGCATGCCTGCAAAACCCCACCCAGCTAACGTCCTTGTCCCTATAGACAGACGTGAGCCTCCCGTTAGCTGACTCTGACGACAACGTTTGATCGATAAGCCGATCTAGGCAGGGCTCTCTTTTCACTTGACGTTTAT